CCTGAAGAACTTGTATTTACTGTTTTAGAGGAACGGTGTTTTGGAGGTGTAAACAACACACACTTACAAAATAAGCCATGAGCGCACTTTCCATTCAACAGCTAATTAAACAAGCATCCCCATTTTGCCAGTTACTTAAGCTTGCTGTTTTAAAATGCCTTCACACATGGTAAAGAGAGTCCTGGAGAGAAAAGACTCTTATTCCAGTAAACAAATCTGGCAATGGTTTGTTTCATCATATTTTATTGAGTAAACCACAACTGACTTAGTTCCCACAGCAGCACACTAAGCCAAAAACCATACCATTCAAATCTGAAAGAAGTGCGTGAAAACAACAATCGCATGAGGCTGAGCAAGAGGCGGCTGTTTGTAGCAAGCAGTTTGCCAAAACAAACCAAAGGCCTATCTAATCCAACCTCATGCAGCTTTCCACAGCGATTAACCATCTGCCTCCTGGAAAGCTCACAAAGGAATTGTGGACAGCTTGTGGCAATCTTCCTGTCGCTCTGCAGCTACACTGAATGTGTCATTTGAGATTATGAGCTGGAGTTCTAAAGTGAATCAAGTTGAAACAGAATAATGTTTCTCTTTCAAACTTAGCCCTTGGAGGAAACATTTACACAGGGGCAGGGAGTTTCTTCCAGAGAGAAGAATGCACAGTTCCTCCATTTTACAGGCAATTCTTCTTTTGAGAGAGGAAGGCTCCCAAATCTAGCATGCACTCATACATAGAGTAGATAGAAAGCCCACAATAACACTGCTCAACTGAGATATTTTTTTTTCTTTCCACCTTGATGAAAAGCCAGCAAGGAGAATTAATGGGGCCAATAAGCCACTGGAAAACAGAAGTTTAAGCCAGTAAGAGAGTTGGCAAACACAAACTCTTGCCTCCATAGGAATCATATTAGTTTCCATGTGGATTAAGGCACTTGAGATACAGCATCTGTAACTGCTCTAAGAATGGCAACAGCACAACCCTTTAAACTATTGTCCAGTTAGCATACTAAGTGTGCCTGGTAAACCAAGCCAGCTTCTTGTATTTTAAGTTATTGCGCTGGTTAGACCAGGAGAAACTCCTGGCTGATGAGCAAGCAGGATTTAGGGAGGGCAGTGTGCCAGCTTACAATTACTAATAGAAAAATAGACACATGGGCAACACTTCCCTTTATATGTTGCCTTCATTGATTTAAAATCAACCTTTGATTCCATTCCAAGGGACAGACTCTGGTGGAAGCTCTATTTATTGATCTGCAGCTGCTTCTCCTAATTAGGATGCTGCATCAAGATACAGTCACCTCAAGTTAGATGTGATAGAGCCCAGAAGTACAGTAAAGATAAATCTAAAAAAATAAGATCATATTAACAAACTTCCCTTAATCATACTGTAGATTTATAAAAAAAATAATTGTTCTACTTGATATACTTCGGTGAATGACAAAATTGGGAAATATAAAAAACATAAAAAATTAAAAATAATTAAAAACAGAATAAATTACTTCCAAAAGGAGACTCATTCACCATCCAGCTCCCTCCCGCATTCCCTAATTTCATAAGGCAAACAAGTGGCAAAATTATCACTAGAACTGGAACAAAAAAGAACAATTCTATATAATCCATAAAGTGGCAGCATTCAAAAACATTAGTAAAAAGCCATTTTATCAGCATCATAAAATAATAATTCCCAAAGATACAATACTTAGCTATGGCCATCAATGATAGCCATGCACCTTTCTGAAGAGAAAAGAAAGCCATACTGCCCAAATGTCTGCTGAACAAACTAGAGAGCAAGAAACTAAGCGCCAACATGGAAATCATATAAATGAAAAGGAGTAGCACCCAACATCTCTCTGCCAGTCCAAAAAAGATTAGATCATAATTAGATCTCATTAGATCATTAGATCTGAGAGAAGGTACACAAAAAAGTTGAAGGCCAAGGACTATTTATTGTGCAGCTTGAAATTCCAAAGCTTCATCAATGTTTATATACTGCTTGATTTGGCCAGAAATTAAAAGGCAAAAAACTGTAGGGGACAAAAAGAAAAAAAAAAGGATTTTTCTTTACCCAAGGTTTGTGCCAGATCAAACTGCTTTCTTTAAGAATCCACTGAAGGTGCTGTATCTGGAAAACTTTGAAAATTATACTCTGATTTTACAGTTGAAATGTCCCATGCTTTTCTTAATCTCAAGTCCTGGACTGCCATTTTCTCAGACTTACCATACTCGCCTGTGAGAAGGAAGTCTCCCCCCCGCCCCAACCATACTGTCTTCCTCCTCTCGTTCAGTTTTCCCGCCATAGCCAGGGCAAAGGGTTAAAAATGAATAAAAATAAAATAATAGCAAGGTTTCTCTATGCAAAGGGATAAAGGGGAGGCCTTGGCGTGGCCGCCCCAACAACTGACTCTGCACATTTGCTTTTGGAAATAAACTTCATCTCTATTTCAAGCAACTGCCTGCACATTTTATTCCTGGCTTGGAAACGAACTTGGTAAGATTTCTTTCCAACACACCCTTGACTGGGCATGGCTTGGTTGACAAGCCATCTCCCAGCCCTGTGTTCAGACAATGCAAGAAGATTAAGAAATGTATAGACGTAGCAATGCAGGATGGGCAGGCTGCAGCATAACCTCCATATGGACGATGAAGCTCAGAGACAGTGCTTTAAAATTAACAAGGTTTATTTTTATCAATGTGCTTAATGTTATCTAATACTCCATCTATGTTAAGTGACAGAAGATAGATATATGTCGGCATATTTCAGTCCAACCTCTGCATAGCAGCTAAAAAAAAAAAAGACAAAAAATGTGAGAATGTATAGAAGATGGTTATAGAACCAAGGAAACAAAAAATACGTTGTATCATATTTTTTGTTTCCTTGGTTCTTCCAACGTACCTGCTATCATTTATGAGATAAAAATGATGTAATGATTGAGCATATTGTTCTCATTTGAATGAAACGTTTAAATGAAAGAAAAAAACTTAATAGAAGAGAGAAGTTCGAGCGAGTGAAATTGCTCTTCTGAGTTAGACCTTTTGTCTGCCTACCCAGAATTATCCAAGGAGCAGGTCTCCAGCGCTTTAAGTAGCAGCCTTCTATAGGCTACTATTCATATTAATTTAAGTGGAAAAGTCAGAATTTAGCATGAGATGTTCCACATATTTTCCAGCAGTTACAGCACCTCTCTTGAATCCTTTACTAGAAGTTAATTAATCCAAGAGTTATGACTTCCTTATAGGAAAAATAAAACACTTTTATTTTTCCTATAAAGTATCTGTGTGCATGTAATGTTATAAGCATATCTTGCAATATGGACAAGCCCATAGAGAATCATCAGAACTGTTTTCTAAAGTTGCCATTCTCTGTATGCTTACCTGGGAATAAGCTCAATTGAACTCTGTGGGATTTATTTTCAACATATATGCACAGTATTTATAGAGTTATATTTATAGCTGCTGATTTCATAACAGCTTTCAATCTCCTCTAGAGAGCAATGGTGAAAATGATGTTACATCTGGAACCAATTAGCAATTTTGCCAATAATGAACAATTCAGATAATCCTCTCATAGATTTTAAAGTCTACCTACAGGTAGACTGGGATTTATACCCTGCTTATCATCTGAAACTCCTCTAGCTGCTTACAATTATGCAAAGAATAAATGCGGCTGTTCTAAATAAATTGAGAGATTTTCTGACAGGCCATGTTAGAAAAACAGTGATATAAGTAAAATAGCTTGAAGGTTTTGAAATTTAAGTAAACATTGTCTGCTTATGTTCCCTTCCAATGTTTCTTTTTCCAAATCCAGCCTTAATTTTTCATTTTCTCTTACTTTTTCTCTATCCCAGACCCTAACCTTCTAATGTCTTTCTATTAATACTCAGTAAAACCTGAATCATAACGTTCCTTGCATATTACAATATACAGGAACATATAGGCCCCATAGGTGAATTCATCTCCCCATGTATTTTCTTTAGGTCATTCACCCTCCAAATTTGGACTCTCAGATTAACAGGTGTTAATTTTATACTGGAGACTTGACTAGGCATGGCTTCCTTGACAAGCCATATCCCAGCCCTGTGTTCAAACAATGCAAGAAGATTTCTAGGTGTTAATTCTATTCTGGAGACTAAAAAATCAGATTTGGCTACAATCAATCAATCAATCAATCAATCAATCAATCAGGATTTAGCCACTATATGAACCAACAATCTTATTTACTATAGAGCAGTTTCATACATTCAAAAGAAACCCTCAACTTGCCTGGCCCAGAGATACTCCAATCTGAGATTACAAAGGCTAAATAATTCAAGAATAATTCTGTGCCACTTGTATTCAACATGACCAAGGTAACATGCACGCACACATACACACTCAAGTAAAAAGAGATACCAGCTTAATGGCATTTGACTGCAGTAGATATTTTATATTTTCTCTTTTAAAAAAATAGTAAATAGGCACATTGTTCTGTTGTCTCAAGTCTAAAGAGGCAAAGATATAGTGGCTTGCTATTAATACTTGTACTCCCCCCAAGAAGAAAAAGCCTTGTATAACTCTATTAGAAGAATTCCACCAGCCTTTTACAGCCATGAGTCCGCTGGAAGTAGAAAACGTAAATCAGCTATAAGAAGGAACTGTGCAGAACTCTTTCACATGCCTAATGTTCAGGGCCACAGATATCAACTCATAGCACTTCTATCCAACTTGAGATATTTGTCTATCTTCACACTTGGATATCATTACTTTGCAGTAAAATAATCCCTGTCACTCCTACAATCATTCTGTTGTAAAAGCATGCGCTCAACTTCACCTCAAAATACATAAAAGCAGTTTGAAAACATAACTACATTTCCGTTGGAAGATGGATACTCCCCTTGCAATAACAGCTTAGCTGGAAAACACTTTCAGTTATGGTACACCATGCCAACATGTAGCATATCAAGTTCTATAATGTCAGCTAGGGATTTAGTTGGAAAAGGAGCAAAGCAGCAGATGGAGATACTTACTGGGCTGTACGTTTCATCTGCAGAATGATTAATTTCCCACCAATCTGATGTCCACTCCCAGGCATTTCCCACAATGTTGTACAGGCCATAACCATTTGGAGGAAATGCTGTTACCTGCCTCAAAAAAAAAAAAAATGGTAAAATGCCCCAAAACAATTAGAATATTTATTATATTAATAACAAACTTATTTACTGAATGGGAAAGACGAATTCATCTATACAATATTGCTTTGTAGTTGTTTTTGTTGTTGATGGTGATGTAGTTCTCTGTGTTCGGGTTTTTTCATTACTAGAAGAACATTCTTCCTTTAACGTAATTCCTCAATTCTCATGCTTTACAAACAGACCCCTTGCCCAGATATGCAGGTACTCTGGCCACAGAAGAATACCTAGTTGGCCATTTGACCAATTTTTATATGTAATCATTTTTTAAAACTTCATTTTGCTTCAACTCTGATACATCAACATGCCTTGATGGGTTCTTCATTCCTGCAGCTCTATAGCCCTGAATTGCTCAAGGATTTGTTTCCTTAAAAAGTGCCTATTCTCTCTTGCTGCTGCTGCTGCTGCTGCTGCTGCTGCTGCTGCTAATAATAATAATAATAATAATAATAATATCAAACAAACAATCGCAAAAGGCAGCTTTATTTGGAACAGCTTATATCCTGCAACAATACCTTTAACACTATCAAACAACATCTGCCTATCCCAGGTCCTTGGCAAGGACTCGACAGGTGGATAAGAATGCCAAATCCAGTCTGAAAAACTGGCTAACTGTGTGACCAACAATAATAAACTAAATATATATGCTGCCTGACTCCCAGCAACTCTGGGTAGTTTACAGTTGTTAAAAACATTTAAAAACAAAGAACAATATGAACAGGGTACCTAGGAGTTAGGCCCCTTTTCAGTTTAAGCTGCATGGATAGCAGCCTGCAACAGAAAAGCCAGACTTCCAATTTTCAGAAATGCAGAGACATGCACAGGAAATCACTTGTGAGAAATTATGTCTAGGCCTGGGGTCAATAATGTAGGAGGCAAAGCAATCCATTAAAAAAAAAAAAACTTGACATTTTTCTTGCTAGGTGATAATCAAAATACATCAGTATTAAGGACCAAAACAACTTGCTCTCGTTGCATGTGCAGGTATGATTGTTAAGTTATAAACTGTCTTTTTTTGCTGATCTTGACATTTGTGATTGGAGAATGACTTGTTACAAAAGACAAGCATGCAACAAAGCTCTCTAACCAGCAGATAATAGGAAAGAAAGCTAGATGTGTCTCATTAACTTTGTTTACAAATTAATAGGGGTGAGGCTGCGATCAATACACAAAGTCAGCACGCTCCATTCTCTCTGCCTATTCTCTATTCTTCACTAGAAAAAAATTAAAGGGTCTCTCAACCATTTTTCCCCCCTTCTATTCATACTAAAGCTTAATGGCAGGGGACAATTTCTTAGTGACCCTTCTTACCAGTTCAGAAATGGTGACTCTATTGAAAATATCCTACACAGTTACAGTGTAGATTAATACATTTTTGAAAGTACCACCTTCTTCACTGCTGATATTTGAGCTAGGCATAGATAATGGAATAGCCAGAGATGGAATAAGTCTGCCTTCTGTCATGCTAGAAAGAATAACTGATGAGAACTTTTGGAGAGTCTCTGGGGGCTGTACACAAGACTTTGGGAGAGGCCTGCATACAGCCCTGAGATCTCAGGTTATACCCTCTTATGCAATTAGATCTGGGTTCCAAAAATCCAGAAGACCGCTAGATGACAGCAAAAGATGCATGACGCTAACTTTTTGCCACCATCTTCCAGTTATTTAAATCTTTGCATCCCAGTTCCAGTTACCCTATTTAAACTATTTGCTACTATCAAAGTACAATGTGGAGGATCACCCAAACGAGGCACCGGGCTGGCCGAGACCCTCTGGCTTCTTTCTCATAGAGGCCAATTCTTTAGCAAACAGCAGTCTTCTTCTGCACTAAGACAACCAGTTGGGAAAACACATTGGAATGGACCACAAAACTGCAATCTTCTCCAAGTATCTCAACAATGCACCTGCACTAGGCCTCAGAAATGGCAGGGGCAGCTCCTGAGTATCTGTGTCTCAAGTGAGCCAAATGAAAGATCCAGAAAGCCTTCTTCTGAGCCTCAGGAAATCTGCTTGGACTTGTTGCTGTTTTGGGTAGTCAGCATAGATAATTTAAGTACCTACTTAACCTTGACCAATCTCAGAAAGTTAAGTAGGTTCAAACATAATTAGGACCTAGATGGAAGACAACCAAGAAGTACCACAGTTGTAGGGTAGACTGGAAAAGCACAGAAGAAGATAATGGCAATCACTTCCATTTTATTGTTGCCAAGAAAACTACATGGATGTGCTGATAAAGTTACCAGGAGTCAAAATTAATTTGAATGAAATCTATTTTAAATGTTGTACTTGAACTAAGATCTTTTACTGCTTGTCTGACTCTTTACTCATAGCAAGAACTATCAGAATAAAATAAAAATATACCATGCTGAGCATAAGCTTTCTTCTGTTTTTTAACAGGAAATTAGAATTCCTGTACCATGGAATCTTTACTTACTATCACAATGCTTTGTGGAACGATGTCGACTGAAGGCTATCTGCTGGGAGTCTAGTGGGCTTCCTTGCGCAGTTGGTTGGCCGCTGTGAGAACAGATGGCTGGACTAGATGGGCCAGAGAACCAATCCAGCATGGCACTACTTATATTCTTATGTTCTCAGAAAGCACAATTTATCAATTTGTGACAGCTGAATACAAAATAAAATCTCAAATTATTTTTCATTGACCATCACTCCTTAACTTCCTTGTATCCTTGTCCAATTGTTGAGTGCAAAGATGTGTTTAAGTGGTATAGTAAGATGATTTTACACTCTGATTAATAATCTAAGTATGCTACCTCTTGGGATGCATATGCTTTTGCAGTTCAAAAAAACTTGGTTTAAAACGCTATCCCCATGTGCATTTATGCACCCTTCTGATTTTGCTGACGTTGTAGAATCTATTTCTATACAAGTTGTCCAAAGCTTGCATGAGACGAATGACTTCTCTTACACCTGCCCATCACTGTTTTGAATGATCCTTGCACTTACCATTTTAAATCGTTTTAAGGTTGCTACTTAGGGGCAACACTATTATATACTTTCATACAAATTTACTCTGGCTGTAGGGAGGGTAAATGATCTACACTCCCCTCCACTTTTAAAGATGCTTTGTACAAACCTTCATACTTCACCTGCCTATCATTTGTCAGACATCATTCCATAGAAAGGACAGCTATGCCTGCAAGTGGTATCCAAATCACTCAAACAGTTAGCAGTGATTGTCATGCAAATCAAAAGAGAGCCATAGAAAGCTTTTCATTTTCTAGGGCAAGATTCTGTTGCAGACCTAACATAAAGTGACCACAGCTGTCCAAGTCAAATAAGCCTATTTACCCAAGTGGGATCCATCTTTTATTGAGAGTTTGATTTACATCACTAACTTACAGGTGCAGTTCCTTTATAGCCATCTTCTTCCGTATTGCTTGTAGGGAATTCTCCCTGCCAAATATTTGCATAGTGCTGACCATTTGGGTGAAGTTTGTTTCCCCAGGGAAAAAGTCTATCAGAAGAAGCATAGGCAAATGTTAATCAAGACTACTGTGCAATTGCAATTTTTAATAAAATCACTAGCAATTGTAATTTTAATAAAATGATCATAAAAAAATAAAATGACTATAAAAAAGACTGTTGTCAGCTTTCTCTTGGCATATCATGAAAGAAAGAAAGAAAGAAAGAAAGAAAGGAAGGAAGGAAGGAAGGAAGGAAGGAAGG